GGCATTGCCTGTGTACTTGCGAGAGGACAGATGGGAGTCATCTATAAAGGAAGGCAGCAGCACCTGCAGCCCCCAAGAGACCACAGATGTCAGCAGGAGCTGTGGGAGCAAGGGGCTTCCTTACAAGCCCTGGGATTCCCAATACTAGGAGGGTCCCTGAAAGCCACACACCCAGTCCCCTGTGAGACTCAAATCCTGTTTCAAATGGCCCAGCTGAGCAGTTACAGAGCTGATGTCTGAATATCTCCAGGGACAGAATAGTCCCTCCCTCCTAGCAGAGCCCATTTGATCCAATCTTGATTTTCCCTCCATCAGATTTGAGACACAGCTTACACATGTTAAGATGTGCAACTCTTAAATGCACAGCCCGATCAGCTTTCACGCTGTCGTCCACCTGTGCAACTCAAGGCGGAGAAATAACATTTTCATCATCCTAGAAAGTCTCTTGCTACTCTTCCCAGGGAACAGCCCCCTACCACCCTAAGGCGGCCGCTTTTCTGACTTTGATCACCTCTAATTAGTTTTGCCTATTCTCGAGATCCTTATAAATGGAACCACACACAGGAGTTACATGTTTGCATCCAGCGGGCTCCACTCTCTTCTACTGGAATAGCTCTTTATCAAACCAAGCCTCCTCTGGCTGGCGGGCCCTGTCTTACAGGGGCCACCTATCCTGGCCTGGCTTCCTGCTGTGTCCTTCCAGTCCTGGCTCCTCTGATGGACAGATTGAGGCAGCAATCCTTGTGTTGTGCCACGGCCCGTGGATTTGCTCTCGCCAGGGAAGCTGGTGACAGCAGTGACTCTTCTGGTGCGCACGTGTCCCTGCTGTCTTGGGAGGAAGTGCCGCAGTGCAAGGAGACAGCTTTGCTTCCCTCCGACTACTGGGAGGCCTGGGCTGTAGCTGGGGACAGGATGGGAATGCTGGGAGATTTCCTGGGCCTTGGGTTCCTCCTTCCCAGAGAGGAGGTGTTAGGATGAGATGCTCTTACCGTGCCTCAGGTCCCTTCCTGTGCAGGTTCACGGACGCATCCTCAGTGTTTATGCAATATCCCAAGGGAAAAGTCTCAGTTATGGGATTATTTTTTTAAAAGAATATTTTTCACATATCCCATTTAAAAGTTTGACAGTCTTGTTAAACTTCTATACCCTGAGTTTGAAATAATATACCCTATATCCTAATTTATCTTATGCCTTGAATCTGAAAAACTAAAGACATTAAACCTGCATGAATTCTATGCTGATGGAGGACTGACCTCCTGGGATTTTGTTTTTCCTTCCAGCCGACCTTGAGTGCTTGCCCATACCCTTAGGCAGAGGGCTAGCTGGTGGCCCTCCCTGTCGAAGGCCACAGAGATGGCTGCAAGGATAGTTTTTAAAGAGTATTTTGGCCGGCGCCGCGGCTCACTAGGCTAATCCTCCGCCTTGCGGCGCCGGCACACCGGGTTCTAGTCCCGGTCAGGGCGCCGGATTCTGTCCCGGTTGCCCCTCTTCCAGGCCAGCTCTCTGCTGTGGCCAGGAGTGCAGTGGAGGATGGCCCAAGTGCTTGGGCCCTGCACCCCATGGGAGACCAGGAAAAGCACCTGGCTCCTGGCTCCTGCCATCGGATCAGCGTGGTGCGCCGGCTGCAGCGCGCTGGCCACGGCGGCCATTGGAGGGTGAACCAACGGCAAAGGAAGACCTTTCTCTCTGTCTCTCTCTCTCACTGTCCACTCTGCCTGTCAAAAAATTTAAAAAAAAGAGTATTTTGATGTCTTGGTTCAGTAGTTTTAGAAAATATGAAGACTCAGGAAAAAAATCTGTATTTTTGGATTCAGTTCACAACGTGGCCCTGGGGTCACGTGGCAGAGAGCGAGGCTGTGTAAGGGCCATGCGACCATTGGCTGGCGACCAGCCTGTGGGCTGCCATGGCTGGAGTTTCCCATCTGTAGAATGGATGAGTAATCCCTGTTTCATCTTTCGGGCCTGTCACGAGCATCAGATAAAACATGGCCCACAGACAAGGCATTGCTACAGCGAATCTTTGGCAGAGTTGAGTCAACGAGTTTGCTTAAGGGTACAGCTGGGAAGTGAACTGTTCTGGTTTTGTTTCTAGTTTGGCCAGAGCCCACTGCTTTCTGGTTCTTCTCCTCAGCCATCCTCCTGCGTCTACTTCTGCTCTCCTCCCAGACAGATCCCTTTTCTCTCACGCCTGCTTGCTCATCATCCTTCTGACTCGTCATCCCCCATTGTCTGCAGTTTCAGTTGCAAGGATTTCAGTAGTCTGAAAACATTGAGTGGAAAATTCCAGAAACAAACAATCCGCAGGTTTTTAAAGTGCATGTCATTCTGAGTAGCATGGTGAAATTTCTCCCCCTCTCACCCTGACCTGCTGGGGATGTGACTCATCCCTCTGCCCAGTGAATCCACACTACATGCACTGCCTGCACTGAGTCACTCTGCGGTTGTCTCAGGTCCACTGTCATAGCATCTTGGTGCTTGTGTTCAAGTGACCCCTACCTGGAATCCCCCTCGCTTCCTCTCATTGCAGAGGTGCTGATATCATCATCATCATAGGCACAGTGCAGAAAGATATTTTGAAAGAGGCTGAGACCACTTTCCCGTAACTTTATTTTTTTTATTTATTTTTTATTTTTTTTGACAGGCAGAGTGGACAGTGAAAGAGAGAGACAGAGAGAAAGGTCTTCCTTTGCCATTGGTTCACCCTCCAATGGCCGCCGCGGCCGGCGCACCACGCTGATCTGATGGCAGGAGCCAGGTACTTTATCCTGGTCTCCCATGGGGTGCCGGGCCCAAGCACCTGGGCCATCCTCCACTGCACTCCCTGGCCACAGCAGAGAGCTGGCCTGGAAGAGGGGCAACCGGGACAGAATCCGGCGCCCCGACCGGGACTAGAACCCGGTGTGCCGGCGCCGCAAGGCGGAGGATTAGCCTAGTGAGCCGCGGCACCGGCTGTTTCCCATAACTTTATTACAGTAGGTTGTTATAATTTTCTGTTTTTTCATTAGTTATTGTTGTGCCCAATTAACAAAATTAAGCTGTATCATCGGGGTGAATATATGGAAAAATATAGAATTAGTACTATCTGTGGTTTCAGGCACCCCCTGGTGTGGGGGCGGGTCTTGCTCCAGTTGGGGGTTGGACAACAGTTCTTCAAGTAGACTTGGGAGAAGAATCCGTTTTTATTTTCAAGGCGGCGTTAGTCCCATCAAGATGGGCAGCTGAGTTCAACAGCTTTCTGTGTTAGCTGTTTCGGGCTCCCCAGGTCCCAGGGCCACCTCATGGATCCACCCGACTCATTCATAACAAGTGTCCCCTGCAGATAAGGGGACACTGCTGTAACACATCCTGCCCACTCTCCATCCTCGGATACACACTGCTGCCCTCCAGTAAATCCCCCTGAGAGACGGGTCTGGGGGATGACCCTCCCCAGGACCACCTCTAGGTACCAGTGTGGGGTATCCTAGGAGGCCGTGAGTGTGCCAAGGCTTGGCAACCTGAACACCTGAGCTTTCATTACCCCCAGCCCACTTAGGGTATTAAAACCATGGTGCATTATGGCCAGATGCAACTTAGACTTCTTAATTGAGAGACTGAAGCCAAGAAGCTGAGCCACCTGGCCCTTTGTCTCCAACTGACCGTGGCCTTCCAGTCTGCTGTCTTTGATTGCTCTACACTTAGATTATCTGGATTTGCCCTGTCCAGTGCTTAGGTTCCTTGAGAACCCTGGGCTAAGCCTCACATGGGAACTTCATCCGTACTTTTGGTCAGATTAAACACTTAACAAATACCTGTTTTATTACAGGGAAGACCCAAAGGACTGATTCCTCGTAGAGGCTGTCTTGCATGTAAATTATTTGTGACCAGGCCTAGCCTGAGGCCACAGGACATGGGAGCCTTTCCTCCTTTGTAGCAGTGCCATGACCGAGAAGGTCAAGGCCAAAAGAGTGGTGGAGGCTGAGGAGTTAATCTCCATCCTCAGTGACAGTCTCCCTCCACCTCCTGTGCACAAGACACCCTTGAAACATTACCTGCAAGTTACTGGAGCTTTAAATCGAAATGTCAAACTTCTCTTCGTTTCCACTTGCCGCGCACGCCCCACAGGACAGATTGCATGGCTTTTACAGTGGGTGACATCCTTCCTCATAACTCTTCTTTGGATGACTTAATCCCTGTTACATCTGCCGCACCGACACTGGGCTCACGGGGACTAAGGGCTTGGATCTCACCCTCGCATTATGTCATTTGGTTCCCAGCTTCTGAACCTCAGAATGAAAACATAACCAAAACAAAAGAGAAGATGTTTTTCTCAGGGTTTCCTGGTGAATTGGTAGAACTGGCGTCAGCTCATTATCTGAAACTGAAGGTCGGATGCATTTCTGTAAAGGAGCCAGGGTGGGCAACTCTGCAACAAGACCGGATGTGAAAGGACCTGTTGATATTGCCAAGGTTGGGGCAGTCAGCTGAGTTCAGGCTTTCTGTGTTAGCCAGGAGGATGATTGTGTGGGCTCCCCAGGTCCCAGCACAACTGGGTAACCGTGTTGCATGGCGTCACCTAATTCATAACTAGATCAACCAACAGCACCTTCTCAGATCCAGATTAGATGGGGCTGTTAATGAGCTTAAGAAAGAGATACAAGTCCCCAAACAGGAAGAAACTGTCTAGGTTTGTTTTACAACCTCCTTGAAAAGATCTAGAGTTGCCCTTGAAGTGATAGGTAATTTATTAAGTGTTTCCCTTACACTGGTTTCCAGAAATAGTGGTGCTATCTCACAGTCAAGGTTGCCTCACTGCCAAGGTCCACTGGAGGTTCAGAACATGGTGCTCTCTCTGCAGAGGCTCAGAGCACCAGGCTATTGGGATATGACAACTTCCGTGGTGGGCCCTTTGGGTGCCCTCGGGGCCAGGGCCAGAGGTGTCCTTGTTGCCATGAACACCAATAATCTTGAACGTTCCAGGAAAAGCCAGTGCTCTTGATCTCATTAAACTCTTCTTCACTCAGGAGCATCAAGAGATCACAGGAAGGACAAGGGAGCTCCTGATGTCCAACTCCAGTTGGTGCCCACCCATCCTGCTGCTGGAGCTGAGCTGCTGTTCCCTGCACTCACCGGATGTGTGGCCTTGGGCCCCCTGTGCCATGGAGCTGGTGGGAGTGGTCATCTGCAGGTCATCTACCTTCCGGCCCAAGTTCCCTTTGACCTGTCTCTCAGAAGCCCCATGTTCTATAAAGAAATCCCCCTGAGCCTAGGCGCCCTAAGCAGGAACGTGTCAGTCCCCTGGGCAGTGCTGATGCCTCTGCCCTCCCTTCTCTCCCCAGAGATGTTGAGTTTGAGTGAGCTGGGACATGGAGCAGGTGTCTGCACCTATCCCCTGCTGCGCAGCAGGGCCTAGCCTGGTTCTCACCTCCTTTTGCTTTTGGCTGATGTGAACCTCATGGAATACACACAACCCTACTGGACAGATGTGCACACAGGGAGTTCCTTCCCACAGAGAATGAAGGCAGTTTAGGGCACAGAGTGGCCTGTTGATTGCTGCCAAGGATTGCCTCTAAGAGCCGTTATTGGTCTTTGAAACAACTCATCAGGCCTTCCTATTTGGATGGCAGGGACCCAATTACCTGAGCCATCACGGCTGCTTCTCAGGGTCTGCCTTAGCAGGAAGCTGGAGCAGGAGCCAGAGCCAAGCCTCTAATCCAGGTACTGATGTGGGACACTAGCGGCTGCACCACTAGACCAAGTGCCCCCCAGCCCAGACTTTTCTTTAGATGATGGTAAAGATTTAAAAAAAAAAAGGCTGTGGGAACATGCAAGACTCCTGGGGGCGAGGGTTGGCAATGGACACTGGCCCTCTGTCCCCACACTGCTGGCCCATGCCAAGTGACATGGCCCAGCCTGGAGCCGAGGGTAGGGAAGTGCATTCCTCCATGTCAAGGCTGCAGGTGCAAGATGGAAGCACGGGGTGGTTACCGCAGGCATGGGTGCTCTCAGGAGCCAGGTACAGACTGTGGGTGCAGTGTGAAGGAGCCTGCGGTGAGTGGCCTGGGAGATGGGGCTTGTGCGTTGGAGCACTAGGGCAAGGCAGCAGAGAGGCCACAGGTCAGTACACGCATGTGTTAATGTTAGCTTCTTGGCCTTCCAGGTGGGGTCTCTGTGGGTCTAGGTTCTTGGCTTTGGGGTCTTTTTGGGTCCTTGCACCCATATGGGAGACCCAGATGAAATTCCTGGCTTCAACCTAGCCCATCCCTGGCCATTGTGGCCACTTGGGGAGTGAACCAGTAGATGGAAGATCTCTCTCTCTCTCTCTCTCTCTCTCTCTCTCTCTGCCTCTCCCTCTCTCTATATAGCTCTTCCTTTGAAATAAATAAATAAATCTTTTTTAAAAAGTTTCTTCATGGGGAAATGGAATTACAAAATGTTTACTTTGATGCAAAAAAAATTTGAAATCCATGCCACATTTTTTTCAAAATATACATTTTTTCATGAACTTTTTTGAAGATCCCTCATATTTCTTAAACTTTTTTGGAAGTAGAATATTCTCCCCCACCCCATTAGGTCAGGTAGCAACTACTAGCATCTCTTGGCAGTAGTCTTCTATGTGGGAAGCATTGCGAGAGATGGTCTGGTATCGAGTAACAGCAAAGGCATAATGCCACAGCACATAGAATCAGTTAACCCCCAGTTTAAATCATGGCTTCAGGGCTGGGCGTTTGGCCTTGTGATTAAGATGCCACTTTGGGCACTCACTTTCCCATTTGGGGTGCCTGGGTTCAAGTCCCAGCTCCACTTCTGATTCCAGCTTCCTAACACTACGCACCCTGGGAGGCAGCAGGTGATGGCTCAAGCGGCCGAGTCCCTGCCACTCACTTGGGAGACCCAGACTGAGCTCCCTGCTCCTAGCTTCATCCTGGCTGTGCTGCAGCTGTGTGGGCGTTTGGGGGGCGGGGATGAGACAGTGGGTGGAAGTTGTCTTTCTCTTTCTGTTTCTCTGTCTGCCACTGAAATAAGCAAATGAGAATTTTTTAAAAAATCACAACTTCATCACTTGTTGGCTGTGTGGCTTTGGGCAGGATGTTTGCCTCTCTGAACCACAACTGCCTCATCTACATGATGGTGTGATAACAGCACCTCCACTGCTATGGTTGCCTGCACTCTAGGTTTGTTGAGATTCTGTGATAATGCATGGGAGGCACTTGACGCACAACACAAGTAGCCAGCGGCAATGGCTTCTCTGGGGTCCGGCCGTGAGGCCCCCTACACAAAGGCTGGAGATGGGTATCCACAGCTGGGCCAGTGGTTGGCACTGAGTTAGTCCCTCTGTGGCTCCGGCAGGATCTAAAAGGAGAATAATCTCTGTACCCTTGCTTGACCAGCCCGCAGTCCTGCTGGGCAGAACAAGTCAGCAAGAGGCCTGGGAGCGTGTGGTGAGACCAGGCCTCGCTGGACAGCACTGTGCCAGCTACACCTGAAAGGGAAGAAAACAAAGAAAATGCCACCTCTGTCTCAGACCAGGCTGTCACCCCGCCCCGTCTTTGGCTGATGCAGTGAAACCAAGAGATATGTTTGACCTTGGTGTATTTATAGCCAGGAAATAGGAGAGTATCATAAGTAAAACCAGAGCAGGGAAACCAAAGAAAGTCCCCCGGGAGGAACGGTGCGCTGTGTGTGAGTGTGTGTGTGAGTGTGAGTGTGTATGTGTGTGTGTGTGTGTGAGAGAGAGAGAGAGCGAGCAAGCAGCCTGATCAAAGGCTTGATATCTTTAGAAGGCAGTCTGACTCACTAGGTCAAGTTGAAGACTGAAATTCATTTCCTCGTTGAACTTCGTTTCCCCATCTGTAAACTGGGAGCAGCGCTCTTGCCCCTGCTGTGCCGCTAAGGCGCACCGCTGTGGGAGCGGCAGAATTATAAACCTCGGCAGATAGGAGGCGCTCTGGGGGGGGCATCTGTTCCCTCTCCAGTAGAAGAGGAAAAGCCACAGGATTGCTGGCTGAGGAGGGGAGAGAACATCAGAGCATCAGCAGGTCAGCTCCCTGTGGCACCCTAAGCCTTCTTTCCAGTTTCCTCGTCACGGTGTGGTAACAGCAGAGAGTGTGGCCCCAGGGATAAGGCGATCGTCTGCCCAGCACAGGGTGTCCTTGGCTCCCTTGGGTCTCTCTTCACAAGGGAGCTGCACCGTGGCCTCAGAAGCCTCTGCAGGGGTGGCTCAGGGTGAGGGGCGGCAGCGCCACCTCACACTAACACTGGCAGCAGCAGAGCTTCGGATGAAGAATAGGACAATAGAATTGAAGAGGGACAGGGACCACGTACTTCTGTGCAAGCTGGGGCGGTTTTTAAGATCTTTTTTGTCAGTTTTTAATATTTCTTTATTTGAAAGGCAGAGTCACACACACATACACGAGAGTGAGAGAGATCTTCCATCTTCTGGTTCACTCTCCAAATGGGCCCAATGACCAGGGCTGGGCCTGGCTAATACCAGGAGCCTGGAACACCATCCAGGTCTCCCACATGGGTGGCAGGGGCCCAAATGCTTGGGCCATCATCTGCTACCTCCCAGGTATATTAGCCGGGATCTGGAGGGACATGAACTGGCACTCTGATACGGGATGCCAGTGTCGTAAGTGATGACTTAACCAGCTGTGCCACAACACTGGCCCTCGGGAACTTTGTTGAACCTGGAAAGAGGTGTAGTTAATAAAGGGATGAACCAGATATAAGGGACCTATGACCTCCTGCCTGGAGGCCATGAGAGGGTAATCAGGACTGACCGCATAGTGGTTTCCATGGAAACCAGTGCTAGAGCCACAGTGCTTCTAGTTGAAGAGGGGCTGGTGTCCAGGGACATCTGGGGAGGAGGACAGCAGAGCCTCTGGTGAAGGGGACCCTGCCCGAGGTCCAGGTCGGAGACCCAGACTGCAGGCATCATTAGACCTCCCTTCTTTGCAGGGTTCGAAATTTTCAAAACATTCTCACAAGACCCACACTTCCATCAGAAAAGTTCACCCACCTGTGCAGGCCTGGATGGGGCCAGCTGTCATTTGAGAGGCAAAAACACAGAGCAGCAGAAGTCCCCAAAGCCATCGGTCTGCAGGGGGTGAATGCATCGTCTGCTGTCTGGCTGAGGGACTATTCTAGTCACTACACTACTCACTAGGACAAGGGCTGAGCCTTGAGTTTCTTAAAAATCAATTCCAAAGGTGACCTTTGGGTGCAACCATTAAGATGCCACCTCAGACACTCTCATTCTGTATTGGAGTGCATGGGTTTCAGTCCCAGCTCTGCTCCCGATTCCAGCTTCCTGCTAACGCACACCCTAGGAAACAGCAGGTGATGACTCAAATGCTTGGGTCTAAGCCACCCATGTGTAAGACCTGGATTGAGTTCCTGGCTCTTGACTTTCACCTGGCCCAGCCCTGGCTGTTATGGGCGTTTGCAGAGTAAGCTAGTGGATAGGAGATCTCTGTCTGTGTCTCTCTTACTCTGCCTATCAAATACTTAAACTATTTTTGTTTTTGGAAAAGAAGTACTTCCTACCTAACTGATGACCCTCGAGAGAGTGAGGAAAATTAGAAAGGAGAAGTCCCACCATGCCACAGGCAGACATGTTCATGTAGGGTGGAGCAGGGAGGTTGGGGCCTGAATGGATGTGGGGTTCAGACTCACCGGGGGCACCTGGTGTCCTCACGGCTTTCCAGTACCAGCTGAGGCCAGGCTTGGGGCTGGAGGAATGAAGGGCAGTGACTTGTCTCACTGACATCTCGTAGAATGGCAGAAAGCCTGAGCTGCTCCTGGCCTTGATGGTCACCTCCGCTACGGCAAAGATGAGGAACCTGGCACTGGAGTAGCAGCAGGCAGAGGAGGGAGCGTGCCTACCTTGTGCTGAGCGTCTCACTTGCATTAGTCTCGTTCATCTGCAAAATACTGTGAGATGGAAACATGATCTGAGGTTAGCTCTGTTGCTCAAACCCTTTGGCTAGTGAATGGTGAGGGAGGACTTGAACTCAGGCCTTGGTCTGATCCCAAAGTCCCTGACCTCCGCAGCACACCACCCTGTCTCTCCCTAGAGCGCAGAGGATATTATGTTCTTTGTTCAAAGTCACTTTCCTATGGAGGAGGTCACACAGAGCTGCAGGTACGCTGACCCCCATCTATATCTTTCTGGGTCAACCCTCATTGTAAATATTTTCTCTCTGATGTTGCAACCTTCGGCAGTTAGTCACCAGGGCTGCAAAGGGAAGATAAGCATGCGAGAGAGGAGCCACCCACTCAGCCCAGCGCGCCACGGGCAATGTCTGAATGACTCTTGGGCTGTCAGAGGCAATTGCCCAGGGAAATGAATGCCAAGGCCACTCTGTAGATATGACCAGAGTTCGTTTTTCCATGATCTCAGAACAACTGGATAAGTCAGAGGCAAATGAGGCCCAGAGATGAGATAGGTAGGACTTGGCCGCAGGTCCTGAAACCTCACCCTGCCCCAGTGGGGGCGGTCTCTCGGAGGTGGACAGTGCTGGAGTTGCCACATGAGAGACAGCAGCAGCAGCTTCACTCTGTAGGAAGCAGCTTCGACCCAGGGCCAGTGCCAGGCGAAGAGGGGGTCCCAGCTTGGGGCAGGAGGACCCGAGCATACAGGCAGGTGCATGTTCCACGGGCCACGCGACTGCCCTACTGGCCTATTCTCATTACCTTCTCTGACCTTCTCCCTCCGGAGATGTCAGAGAATCCACAGGAGGGGAATCCATATTCCCAAAAAGATTGTGGATCTCCCGAACACGAAAGAACTGAACCCACACACAGAGTTGGTGGTCTCCAGAGGGAGCCTGGATCCACCAGGAGGGGCAGTTACACAATCAGTGAGGGGGGTAGGGTACTGTCCTTGAGGCCTGGGCCAGCACAGTAAGAACAAACAGGTTGTTTTGGAAAATTGTCTGGCCCGCACGCAGGGCCTGGTGTTTGTGGAGTCCTCTGTCTTATTTGTTGATCAGCGTTTACCACATCCTGGAGAAACAGGTCAGCACAGGTGGCCTTCATTACCCATGGGACTCGTGCTGGGAGCTCTGATCCACGTGGAGGCAGCTTGGGCTCCTGAGCCACAGCCAGTCTTCCTCAGCCTCGCCCACAGCTGGCCTGGCCCCCTGCCCACTTCCATCTGAGAGATCCTGCACTTGCCACTTGCTTTACCTTTTTAACTTCTGTTGATTCTGAACCTTTCAAGAATTTGTCAAAGTCGAGAGCAGAGCACAGTGCACCCCAGGCCCCTGTCACCCAGAATCCATGGCTGTTAAAACTTGACCACACTTAGTTCATCTCTCTCTCTCTCTCTCTCTCTCTCTGTCTTTCCGAATGATTTTAAAACACCACATCATTTTATTTCTACACATTAGATCTTGCAACTCTTAAAAAGGGAGCATTTTTCAGATATAGTGACGTTATGTTATTATGCCTAAAATCACCAGTAATTCTTTGCTGTAATTGAAATGTTCCCAATTCCAGTTTTTTGTTTTTTTGTTTTTTTTTCTTGAATGATTGATTTTTGGGAATCAAGTCTGTCCTTGGATTGGGTTCAGTTTTCAAAGGGATGGAGTCAATTGTTCTACAGTTGTCCCATAGCCTCTGCCCCCTGCCCCATCAGTGCCCCGCCCCGGCCCTCATTGTGGTTGCCCTGTTACATCTGTGGAGCTGGCCTCTGTGTCTCTTCTGGAACATGAGTCTTTTGAGGCAAGCACCATGTGTCATCTTATTCCCTGTGGTTTCCAAGGTAGTGCACTTCCATCATGTGTTCTATTGATTCTTGAAACATCACTGTTTGGAGGATCTTGGGGGTGAATTGTGTTTTTGCCACTAGAAGTCTTGAGCTTTGGAAATTCCCACCCCCACCCCATGACCAGGAGTGACCACTGGATCACAGGGATTTGCACATAGGGCAGAGGGTAGACCAGATGACCTCTAAGGCCCACCCAGCGTGACTCTGCACTTATGGCATCCGGAAGTTCGCTGATGCCAGACATCGACTTTGTCCTCGAACTTTGTTCTGGGGCTTATCAATATTCTCGTGGTTAAACTCCACAAGCTGACCTGATCTGAGGAGGGAAATTAGGGCATGGTTTCTTGCCATTACCTTTTATAGCTTGGCAAGGGGCAGGAAGGCTTCCTCCCATCCCCGCCCCTCATGGTTGATTCGTCATTTAGTGCGGTTGCTGGAGCATGGGCCTGGTGTGTTGCAATGGTGGGTGGCAGCTCCTGCCCATCATCCTGCTTGCTTTCTTTTTTCTTTGTTTGCTTTTAAGATTTATTTATTTATTTGAAAGGCAGAGTTACACAGAGAGAGAATGAGAGGCGGGGGGGGGGGGTCTTCCATCCAATGGTTTCACTCCCCAACTGGCTACAACAGTCAGAGCTGAGTCAATCCAAAGCCAGGAGCCAGGAGCTTCCTCCTGGTCTCCCACATGGGTGCAGGGGCCCAAGCACTTGGGCCATCTTCCACTGCTTTCCCAGGCCATAGCAGAGAGCTGGATCGGAAGTGGAGCAGCTGGGACTCGAACCAGTGCTCATACGGGATGGCGCACTGCATGTGGCGGCTCTACCCACTGCATCACAGCGCTGGCCCTCATCCTGCTTTCTGACACAACTCTGATCTCACAGTCTCTCTGAACTCATTTATTCTAGAAGCACAATCTGTAAGCTAGGTTCTTAGAAAATATGCCTTGGATTATGGAACCCAGCTTAGTCATTCATTTGTGTTACAAGTTCTTTCAGTGCCCTGCCTAGGTTCTGGGAGTCTAAGGATGACCGTGACACACGTTGACGGCCAGGAGTTCGCTGTTTAATGAAAGCGACACACATCAGTGTCATGGTAGAAAGAAGCCTAGGAACTATGGGAGACAGAGAAGGGCACCCATCTCAGAATACTGGGGTGTGACGAGGCTTCCTGGGAGGCAGCTTCCAAGCTGAGTCTCAAGGAGGAACAGGGGTTTGCTAGAAAAAGGAGAAGGAAAGAGAGAAGGACAATGCAGGGGCCTGCGCTGTGGTGTAGTTTGTAAAGCTTCTGCCTGCAGTGCTGGCATCCCATATGGGCGCCGGTTTGAGTCCCGGCTGCTCCACTTCCAATCCAGTTCTCTGCTATGGCCTGGGAAAGCAATGGAAGATGGCCCGAGTCCTTGGACCCCTGCACCCACATGGGAGACCTGAAAACTCCTGGATCCTGGATTCGGATTGGCCCAGCTCCGGCCGGCCATTTGAGGAGTGAACCAGTGGATGGAAAATCTCTCTCTCTCTCTCTCTCTCTCTCTCTCTGCCTCTGCCTCTCTGTGACTCTGCCCTTCAAATAAATCAATAAATCTTAAATTTGAAAAAATACAGAGACAGTCCATGGGGACGGAATAGCATATGAAAAGGGAAATGACACAAAGATATGTGTAATACAATGAACACCCACAAATGATTTTTTATAAAAAAAAAAAAAAAATTAGACCTCAGGAAGGTTAAAATAATTTGTCCAAGTGGAGGAAGAAGGATTAAAATTATGGTCACAAACTGTTTGGGAAGTGACTCAACATCCTGACCTTATTCCATGCCCACGTAACACCCACCCTCCGTTAATGAGCTAAAAAAAACCCTCATTTGTATCAGACAGGAAAAGCGACTGGGCCTGGAGGGTTCAGGGTGGACATGGTTGCTGCATTTTGGGAAGAAACTTTAGGCCCTGTCTATACGTGAACCGAATCATTGGGACCCCATTCCCAGCATCCCCATGGTCTCTTGGGGATGGGGAACCCAGGACAATGAGCCCTCTCTCAGGGAATGGGACGTTTCTCCTCCTGCAGCAAACACAGGCTGTTTTACATCAGCTTCCTGACAGAGTGGCAGCACCAGACTATCAGCCAAGTAGGATTCACCAAAGGTTTATATTCTATATATAACAATTATGGGGGGGAGGTATTAAATATGGTTATTCCAGGCCGGTACTGTGGCTCACTTGGTTAATCCTCTGCCTGCGGTGCCGGAATCCCATATGGACACCGGGTTCTAGTCCCGGTTGCTCCTCTTCCAGTCCAGCTCTCTGCTGTGGCCCGGGAGTGCAGTGGAGGATGGCCCAGGTGCTTGGGCGCCTGCACCTACGTGGGAAACCAGGAAGAAGCACCTGGCTCCTGGCTTCGGATCGCGTAGCTCCGACCTTAGCAGCCATTTGGGGAGTGAACCAACGGAAGGAAGACCTTTCTCTGTCTCTCTGTCACACTGTCTAACTCTGTCAAGTAAAAAAATATATATATGGGTTTTCCAAAAACAGTCATTCTTTAAAATTTTGTTTTGAAAGTTTGAGATAGAGAGACAGAAGAGATCTTCCAGTCCACTGGTTGACTCCATAAATGCTCACAACAGCTGGGCTGGGCCAGGCTAAAGCCAAGAACCTGGAACTCAGATGGGTGATGGATACCCAAGTACTTGAGCCATCACCTGCTGCCTCCCAATGTGTGCATTAGCAGGAAGTTGCAGTTGGAAGTAGAGCTGGGACTTGGACCCAGGCACTCTAATGTGGGATATGGGTATCCCAAGCTGTATCCTAACCGCTGTGCCAAACACCTGCTGCCAACCACAACCTTGAGAAAGACCAAGAACATTCTTCTCTGCTCCATGTCAGATAATTGTTTAAAATTATCTAAAAGATTGGAAATGTTCCTACCAGAATAGCTGTGTGGGCTCTGTTAAAACCCCTTGGCCCTGAAGGGTTTGGCACTGTGATTGCCATAGCAGCTGACACTTCACTTCGGAGACGTTCTTAACTAAAGGAAACAAGGAAGCTAACAATGCCCAGCACCTATTACATGTCAGGCCCTATTCTAGACACTTCTCTCCATGCTATTCTGTTTACTTCTCAAGAGCCTGCCAGATGCATTTGTAATCAGCCCAAATTTTACATAGGAGGGACTGAACACTCTGAGAGGCCAAATCTTGTCAGTGTCAGGGAAAAGAATCAAACCCAGAATTCTTCTTCTCCTTCTCCTTCTTCTTCTTCTACAGGCAGAGTGGACAGTGAGTGAGAGAGAGAGACAGAGAGAAAGGTCTTCCTTTTCCATTGGTTCACCCCGCAATGACCGCTGTGGCTGGCACACCGCGCTGATCCAAAGCCTGGAGCCAGGTGCTTCTCCTGGTCTCCCATGCAGATGCAGGGCCCAAGCACTTGGGCCATCTTCCACTGCACTCCCTGGCCACAGCAGAGAGCTGGACAGGAAGAGGAGCGACCGGGACAGAATCCGGCACCCCGACAGGGACTAGAACCCGGTGTGCTGGTGCCACAGGCGGAGGATTAGCCTAATGAGCCGTGGTGCCGGCCCAAACCCAGAATTCTGACACCAACTCTCCCCTTGCCTCTGCAGCAGGGCTGTATCTGATGTGTGATAGGAGGAACCTAGGACTGAGTGCTGTCTGCATCCAGCTCAATCATGACCTTCGCTGGGCAAGTCACTTAGCCTTTTGTCCCAGCTTTCCTAGTTGTAAGGGGGCCAATCATGGCCCAGTCCTCATGAGACTTGTTGAGGATTCAAAGAGTCAACCCAGGTACCATGCTGACAACAGGCATGGCACCCGAAAGCACCCCAGGGAAGGAGGCTACCCTCTGTTGCAGAGGCCTCTGCCTCAGCTCCAGCTAACCTCTGGTTTTGGCTCACCTTGCTTGGTGAGAGGCTTTGGCGCTGGCGGGGAAGTGCAGGTGGATGAATAGGCCCATAGGCCCAAGGAGAATTTGAGTCCATGGCCTGGGAAGCTCAGCGAAGCCAGGGAGAAGCAAACACGAGCCCTGTTGCAGGGGCAGTTGGTGTTTCTGACTCTGGCGGGTGAGGAGGAGCAAGGGGACTCCGGGAGCAAGGCCAAGGGCAGGGCCCCCAGTGCCCAGCAGGCCACACCCACATCCAGCTCTGCCTCTTGCTGGATGCACACTTAGGGGCATTCCCGTCAGCCCAGTGGGGATCCTAGTATCTGCTTGATAGGGCACATGACAGACATGAAGGAAACAATGCCTGTGCAGGGCAAGATCAACAGCATGGCATGGCATGGCAGAGGGAGCCTAGGTCTCTTCTCTATACTCCCGGTCTTCTATACACCCAGTCCTTCAACCACCTCAACCTTGCTGGTCTCATCTGTAAAATGGACATCAAATGACAGCCTCATTTAGTTGTGGGAGTTACAAATGACCTAGGTGCCTGTACAGGGAGGAGGAAAGGAATGAGTCCGTGGCAGAGTGGGTGCTGTGGGCAGGCTGGGAGGGAGCTGGACCCTCCGGGACCCTGTGTGGATCAACCACAGGCTGGCAGGGAGCACTGCCCTTCAGAATGGCACCATGTGCTGCTCTCAATGGCAGGGTCCAGAGTGCTGGCAGCCACTGGGCAAGTCTACTCTGTCATGGAGCCTGAGGACCCCTCGCGAGCAGTGAGGATCTGGCTCCGGCTGTGCGGGAGGGCCACGGTGTGACTTCTGTTATGTGGGCTTCACCTTCTGTGTCTCCACACTGCAACACAGCAGCCGCCACCGTGGGCCCCAGCAGCAGCCTCTGTCATCCGAGCAGCTCTGAATGTCTCCGGGGCCTTCCCAGCCTCTGCCCAAACGGCTGTCCCAGGGCCAAGGTAATGGTGATATACGCGGGGCCCGCCTGTCGCCGAGGCCGGTGGCTTTAATGGCTATTGTGGAGGTGACTTTCCATTAGGGGTGATTGAACTTAATTTTAATGGCAGGATGACTTAATGTTTCATCATCTTCTCCCAGGCCTGAAGGTCAGAGGGAAAACCTTTCCTTCAGGAATCACACTCCCAAATCCTCGTAACACGGCGCACCCTGTGGATAATGCTTACAAGAGCACCGAGAACAGGGGCTGCCGTTCGGCCCCAACAGCCTGGTTTGTCCACACGAGCCTCTGGAGCCGGATGGCCTAGGAGCAGGTGAGCGCCGACCCCACCGCTTCCTGCTTTGTGCCTCGGTTTCCTCATCTATAAAGTTGGGTGATAACAGCTCGCGCTTCCCAGGGTTTTGTCCGGGAAGGGCCGTGGAAGTGTCAGCTGCTGTTGTTAGCAGCTGGGAAAGGCAGAGTGTAGGCAGCCATTCGCCAGACCCACTCCAAAGCTGATTGAGCAGGCAGTGGGGCTCGGGCTTGGGGTGCAGGGAGGAGCGGCGGGAGGTGAGTAGCGGGAGGTGAGCGTGGAGAGTAGGGTGGGGGTAGGTGCAGAGGTGTGGGGAGCCAGGCTCCTGCAGCTAGATAGCAGCCTGTGCGACGCCCCCTACCTGGAGCCCTTCTGTGCACTGCCCCAGAGAGAAAGGCGATAGGAAGGATTTTTGGAGGATCTTTGCTGACAACGAGAATGGAAAGAGATAAATATATATGAGAGCCGTTAGCAAGGAAGCCCGGCAGGACTCCATGGCTAATTGGGTGTAGGGCTGCTGGGGCGGGGTTGGGGTGGAAGAGGAGCGTAGGGTGACTTTGAGACACTTTGAGCGAGGTGACTGCCGAGCGGCATGGTCACCAGCACTGGGAAGAGTTTGGAGGGAAGAGGATGCCTTGGAGCTAGGCTGGTGGCAGGGCTGGTCTCAGCTGGGGATCAGGGCTCGGAGAGAGATTTGGACGTTATCCCAAGAGTGAGCAGAGAGAGGAGGAGGCATGGAAGGCCAAGGACAGGTGCAAGGGGTCGTTCCCAGGGGCAGAAGCTGACAAAAGGTGGAGAAATCTCCAGAAGGCGAAGAGGGGGCTGGGCAGGGAGCAGCTCCCAGAGAACGCAGCAGACTGGGTGTGCATCAGGCAAAGCGGTGGGGATGAGGAAGGCAGAAGCTGCTGGGGCAGCCGGGGAGCGGCCCGTGGGGCCCATCTAGGGTGCCGGCGACCGCAGCGGGACTTAGTTTTAAGAGTTCTACCAAGTGCCAGAGTGAGAAGACAGTGTCTTCCAGAGTGGAACAAATGCCAGCACACCTGGCGTACCGGGAGTCCCGTTCTCCCACTCACCAGGCTGCCTTCTAGAACCCAGGCGGGAAATGAAGTGATAAAGAGGAGAGGCTGGGGCCACTGGCTGCCTGAGTTCGAGCAACCTGGCCTCAGTTTTCCCATCTGCAAGGGGACATTGGACTGGATGGTGCCCAGGCAATTCTCATTCTGCCCTCTAAGTCCATTAGCCCCTCCACAAAAGTGGGGTGACCTCTAAGGATGGGGTCCCTTCATACTAGACCAGAGACCCCAGTTGTCAGGCATTGCAGCCTGTGTGGTGGGACTTTCACACTTGTGAAGGCCCCATGAGATGAGACTACCTAATGATGCTGTAACACTGTGTGGATGGCAGATTGTTTACAAGTGTCTGAAAATACGAGCTGGTTACGATCATCTCGCTTATATAGTCAAGATTCGAGGTTCAGAAACTTGACTCAGTTCATATAGTGAGTAAGCCACAGGGCTGGAATTTGAACCCAGACACTTACCTTCCAAGTTCATGCTCATTCCATGACTACAAACTGTTTTAAACTTTAAGTGAGGGTGAACATTTAGCCTAGAATATGATACTTGCATCTCATATTAGAGCACCTGTGTTCAATACTTGCCTCTGGGGGCTGGGGCTATGGTGTAGTGGGTAAAGTCGTTACCTGTGACACCAGCATCCAATCCAGCTCTCTGCTAATGGCCTGGGAAAATCAGTGCAAAATGGCCCTAGTGTTTGGGCCCCTGCCACCCATGTGGGAGACCCGGATGAAACTCCTGGCTCTTTGCTTCAGCTTGGCCCAGTGTTAACTGTTGAGGACAGTTGAGGACATCTAGAGAGTGAACCACTGAATGGAAGATTCTCTCTCTAACTCTGATTTTCAAAATAAATAAATTGGGGCTGGTGCTGTAGTGTAGCAGATAAAGCCACCGCCTGCCGTGCCGGCATCCCATATGGGCACTGATTCGAGACCTGGCTGGTCCACTTCCAATCCAGATCCCTGCTAGGGCCTGGGAAAGCAGTAGAAGATGGCCTAAGTCTTTGGGCCCCTGCACCCATATGGGAGACCCAAAAAAAGCTCCTGGCTCCTGGCTTCGGGTTGCTCAGCTCCGGCCATTGAGGCCATCTGGGATGTGAACCAGTGGATGGAAGACCTCTCTCTGTCTGTCTCTGCCTCTCTGTAACTCTGCCTTTCAAATAAATAAATAAATATTTTTAAAAACCCACAAATTAATATTTAAAAAAATAAATAAATCTTTAAAAAAAGAAAAACCTGCCTCTGGCTCCTGACTCCAGTTTCTTGCTAATGTAGACCCTGGGAGGCAAAGATAATTGGGTCTCTGCCACTCATGTGGGAGACCTGGATTGAGTTCCAGGCTCCTGGCTTTGGCCTGGTCCAACACTGGCTGTCACAGACATTTGGGGAGCTCTCTATGTTCATTTCTCTATCTTTCTCTTAATTGAAAGTTAAGATTTTGCTTTGAGTCATATGAAGAACTTTTGGAATACATGGCAAAATTGGGATAGCCAGAATGGATTGGGAGATCCTGATGGTTGTACTCCTGTATGGAAACAGAGCTGATTTTAATCTGTTTTTCCTGTTTGCAGATGGGGAAACTGCAGTGGTTCCAGATGGACTTTCTGCTCTTGCCTCTGGATCTGACAGATCTGGACAGTGGCCATGGTCCCCTGTGTTTCCTCAGCTGTCACAGTTGTCTGTGTGGAAGGAGGGCAGTGGATCCCAGGACCTGCATAACTCCGGGACCTGAGCCCTCCCTTTCCCTGGAAGGTGAGGTTTTCAGAGCGTGTGAAGCTTCTCCCTGGTGGGACACAGCTCCCCACGGTCACTCTGACCCTGGAGCCCTTTCTACGCTGCCCGCGCCTCTGCTCTGTGGTGGGGCTCCTGTCCTGCTGGTACAGTTTGGCTTCGATGTGACCTTGAGTTTAGCTGCTGCCACAATGAGGGCTCTCTTTCTGTCTTCCTGGTATTGGCTTCATGTCACGCACCATCCAGTGCCACCTGTTGAGATGGGAGGGCAGCCCCCTCCCTCAGTGTAACAGCTCACACTTGGCTACCAAATGCAATGACTTTGCCCAGTCAATTCTTCTTCAGGACCACAACCCCAGACTTTACACATTCCATTTCTCTCAGTGTTTCCGTGCCCCATAAACTTATGACAGGGTCAAGGGTTGTGTGGAGAGACACCGTGTGTAAAGGGACTCAACACTGTTCACTCAACTGTCCCTTCCCTCTGACGGTTGGCCACGGTGTCTATTTTAAGCTCAATCGCTTCAGTAGGCTCTTGGAAGAGGCTGGGCAAGAGGGCGGGTTGGATGTGGCCTTTGTCCCCTCTTTGTAGTGTTATTTTCTCTATTGCAGATTTGAGTGCTGGCCCCATTATTCCCGAGTGAGTCAGCAATCTCCACCCCTCTGCTGAGCAGGTCTCTGTGTGCCTCAACACCTGATAACCACTGTAGTTATGAAGATGAACCCATGGTGATGTGGAGGGAGAGATGTTGGAGACACCACGGCTTTTTGGTAAAGTTGATGTAGCTCAGGGCCTTCCTTCTGCTAAAACTCACCCGCTAGGGCAAACGGCCTCTGAGATGGCCCTCAAATGTCTTATCTCCTGGTATTCATGCCCTTGGAAGTCCCTTCCCACACTGCATGAGGCCGGCCTGTGTGACTAGTAGGATATTTCGGAAATGGCCACACTGTATGACCACCTGTGTGACCCCTGAGGACATAGGAAACACTTTGCAGCTCTCTCCTTGTTCACTTGGAGCACTTGCTCTGTGGAGACCAGCTGCCACCTTGGGAGGACACTCAAGCAACTGTGCATAGACCCATGTCACGAGGACTGAGGTGTCGTCACGCAGTCGCCAGCTGTGTGACCAAGACACCAGCTGAGAGGCTGATTGTCTGACCCTTGTCAAGCCTTGGCTGATGCCCTAACTATGACCTCCCTAGAGACCCTGGGCCAGAACCATCCAGCGAAGTCACGCCTAGGTTCAGGACCCACAGGAACAGTGGCAAAGAAACACTTGTTTTAAGTGCTAAGTTTTGGGCTAAATCGTTACACAGCAACAGATACACCGAAGACAGGTGAGCAGGGATCTATGACAGCCTGGACTCATACACAGTCCACACTTTCCCTTGTTTTCACCTAACCTTGCTGCCTGTGTGTTGGTTCTTCCCGTGCTGCTCTGTTGACATTAAGACTGTACTGGCTACTCAGTGTCTGGCGTCCCTACTGTCTGTCCACATCACTGTGGGAATCCTGGGTGCTGTTCCCAACTCTGAAGCTCACACCACACCAGGGCAGCATGGCACTTGGCTCCACGCAGGCCCTCAGACCCCGGGTGCACACTCAGGGGCACTGGCAGAGTAGCAGCTGGCCGGCAGGAGGGCGCACATAAACATGCAGGTGTCTGGAGTCCCAGCTGGCAGCACAGCTCATCTCCTTCCCCTGGGGAATCTCCACTATGAGATTCTGCCTTTGACACACAAAAAGCCTGGTCTCATAGTCGCTTAGGAGCTCCAGGACTTTAAGCCAGGGAAGACGGGGCCAAGGTGCATTGTCCATCAGAAGCAGCAGGGCCTTCCTGTGCTGGAAGAACTGCTCAGGATGTATGAGGAGTCCAGTGGCTGGCCCACGGCAGGTGCTGAATAAATACTGATTGAACAGATGAATGACTGAGGGGCGCTTTGGTCTCTGGACTTCTGAGCTGCTCCAAGACACATGGGGCAGGGGTTGTGCTATGTTCCAGGAGAATTGGTGCAGGAGCGTGGGGGTGAATGACAAGGTAGGTGAGAGGCTTCTAACCCATGGGGTAGGTGGAGGGGCTTAGAATGATCACATGATAGGGGGAGGCTCACAGGTCTTAGGGCATCTTCTGTGCCTGGGGCCCCAACCTGCCTTCTAGGGGTCCAAAGTGTGCAATAGGTAGGAGGGCCTTACCCTGGGTAAGGATGACAAGGATCTCAAAGACACATCATGGTACTTGGGAAGGAGAGGAGCTGCCTGTCCCAGGAATTGTTCATTCCGAGTCACAGGATGGAGTCCACAGTGGTGCGAGGACGCGATGGTTTCTCCTCGAGACCTGCTTTGCTCTGTGCTGTTGACCACACTCTAGGAGTCCTGCCAATGCTGCAATGCTGCAGCTTCCCTGACTTGAGATATTGAATGAGCTGAGTAGAGGAAGGTTCTATCTTTCTCTGGTTTGCCCATGACTTCCCTGGGTGTGGTTTGGCTACTGCAGATGGCAATGGGGATCCCTTGGCTGATGGTGGTCCCTTATCCCTTCAGCATTTTTGTAGAGAGCAGGAGAAGGATCACAGTGTCTTGTCACTCCTGAAAAGTGTGCAAGTCGTTGGCACCTGGGGACCCAGAGTCCTTTTCTTGGTCACTGAGCTTGTGAGCCTGACCCGAGTCATCGTTTCCTCTGCAGTCATTAATGATGGGGGAAAGTGGCCCTGCAGAAGCCAGTGCTTGAATCTGGACTTTCTCTTGGCCAGGGAGAGTGGGGAGGGGACAGAGGGCCATGGCTCTGTGCGATGTCCAGGGGGAGTGGGGCCATGTTGGGCCTCTGGCCTTTGTCCCCAGGAAACATGCCCTGGCAGGCAGTGTTGCTGCTTTGAGCCCCTTCAGGTTGGTCTTCACTTGGCTCCTGCAGCTCAGGCTGGGGCTGGGGATTAAATCTGTTGCCTCCATTAGTAACAGTAAATGCATTCTTCCCAGTGCTCTGCAAAAGCCCAGGAACTGGAGCCTCACCAAACCCACCCAGCTAGTTCAGTGGGCGAAGTGTGGGGCTGGTGGGAACTGGACATTCTAGAGGCCTGGCACCTCTCCCTGCCTGTGCCTCGTGCTGCTCAGTGCTTTCTCTTGAGGTCTACAACCATGGAATGAGTGCATCCTTTCCTGGGGCAGCTGCTCTGAGCTCATAAACTCAGAGAAATCAAAGGCAGAAGCTGCAAGTGCTCAGGCCTGCGGGGACTGGCATCTCTGGAGACTCCCATTTGCTTTTTTTTCCTGTGTGCACAGATCCAGCAGTCTCATTTTGCAAGGCCTTGGCTGGCTCTTTCTCTTCCCTAATGGATGGTGAAGCAAAGCTATGGCCAGGAGCCCCCTTAGGCTGGGAAAATGTTGAAAGTGCCAGGGAAGGGCTGCTGTCCCAGACACTCTTAAGAGACAAGCAGATAAAAGAATGAAACAGAAGAGCAGCTGCACATTTGTCATCCAAGGAAAAGCTCAAAACGCAACAGGGGGGTCAGGTCAGGCTGGGTCCAGCTGTAGCACTGAAGACTGGAGAGGGTATATGCTGCAGTTGAAGGCTTTCTCCATCCTCAGCTTGTCACAGGAACCTACTGGTCTGTTTTTTTTTTTTGTTGTTTTTTTTTGTTTTTTTTTTTTTTTTGACAGGTAGAGTTAGACAATGAGCGAGAGAGAGAGAAAGGCCTTCCTTTTCCATTGGTTCACTCCCTTCAAATGGCCGCTATGGCCAGTGCACTGCGGCCGGTGCGCTGCGCCGATTCGAAGCCAGGAGCCAGGTGCTTCCTCTTGGTCTCCCATGCAGGTGCAGGGCCCAAGCACTTGGGCCATCCTCCACTGCTTTCCCAGGCCACAGCAGAGAGCTGGACTGGAAGAAGAGCAACTGGGACAGAATCTGGCTCCCCAACCGGGACTAGAACCTGGGGTGCTGGCGCCGCAGGCGGAGGATTAACCAAGTGAGCCGCAGCGCTGGCCACTAGTCTGTTTTAAAGTCAGTTTGCCTACATGTCCTGACTCAGTGGCCAGTTTCATTCCAAAGGAGGTACTGTCGCCCTTTGTTGGGAAACAAAATAAAACAAAACAAACAAAAATCCAGCTGCCCCTCTGTTGACCTCATCTTTTGCAAATGTCTAGAGAACACGTCCAGGTGGGAAGAGCCTTACAGACATCCCTGGTTACCCGTTCATCCTTGACCCTGCCCCGTTCCGCTAGAGTCAGATTTGGAGCTGGGGAAAATATTTGGCAAATGTGAAAACAATAGAGTTAGCTAGAGCCTGCAAAATTCAAGAGTGGAAAGATTTTACTTTCTTTTGTTTTTGGACAGAAAATTTATTTTTCTTGGTTCATAAATAAAAACTACAAAAAGTCTTGCTTCTACCCTTGCTCCCAAAAACTCCAACCCCAGCAATCACACACACACACACACACACACACACACGTACACCTTCTTTTTCTTTTCTCCTCTCAGAGAAGGAAATTCAATGGTTCTTAAAAGAATGGAAGGATACTCAGTCTCACTTACGTGCAGAGAAATGCAAATGAAAGCTATAATGAAATGCTCATGTGGTGAGACTGACAAAATGTAGACAGCATTCTGTGCAAACTGTGCTTTGGACTTTGTTCTTTTCACCCAACTATGTATCTCAGACATCTTTCAAATCAGTACATAAAAAAAAATCCTCATTTTTATAGCTTTATAGTACCCTATTTATGGACACGCCATAAATTTATCTAACTAGTTTCGTATTTGTGGACATTTGGCTTGCTTCCAATCTTTTGCTACTACTAATAGTGCTGCCCAGAACACTTCCTGTTTGTGCAGGTATACCCGTAGGATAAATTCTGGCAAATAGGGCTATCGAGTCAAAGGGTAGGGGTATTACCGATTTTGATAAGGTTTTCCAGGTACTCTCAATGGGGTTGTATACTATGGGCTGCCACTAGTAATGAATGAGAAGACCTGACCCTCTTTCCCCACTGCTTTGCTAGTAAGCATCTCATTGCAGTTCGAATTTGC